CAGTCCAGTGCGGATCCTCCAGTTCCACACCAAGAGTGCGTCTGTATAAGGCCTGCGAAATCATTTGGTCTGGGCCTGCCATGGCAACTGCAGTTCAAGCCATCACATTAGGGATGAGTTAATTAAATGTTTGCCCAAATATAACAGACTTAATTTTTAAGTTGGTCATATTGTATAGCCCACAAATGATGCTATAAATTTTGGCAGACAAAAGGTTCCCCAGCCCTGCTCTACCAGCTTCCTCATGGCTGCAGAGCTAGGCTTTCACTCACGCCCTAAGCATCCCCTGTCCTCAGTGTGTTTCCTACCCGTAGGCACTGCTGTCTGACACCCTCAGCCCCACAAATGGGCATTACCCCTCCTCACCCATATCCGCTGTCAAGTCTTAGCCACTCACCAGATGGCTGCCAAGATCCAACTGGCCTGTTGTTTTCACTGGTGAATGGGGTGAGTGTGGCCAAGGGAAGCAGATCTTCTCAGAACAGCAGTGCATCAAACTGGATCTCAGCACCTTCTTGGAGACATGAGCAGTTCAAGATGCAGCTCAGGGGTCACTTCGTATGAAAAGTGGTCCTCAACCCTGGCTGCACGTTCAAATCACCTGGGGTCTTTTTGTAAAACTCTCCCTGTGATCTCAATGTGCAGCTAAGGTTGAAAACCCCTGGGCCAGACAGAACAGGGCCAAATCCAGCCCACCATCAGTCAGTGTAAATAAGTAACCAGTTGTCATTGAGTTGACGCAGACTCCTGGCGACCCCGTGTGTCAGTAGAACTGTGCTCCGTGAGGTCTCCAATTGCTTCTTTTTGGAAGTTGACTTCCAGACCTTTCTTCTTGACACTACTGACCTATCTATCTGATTCCAATAGTGTCCGCGGCGGCATTCCAACTACAAAGGCAGAGTGAGAAGTTATGGCCTGCGGAACCTGAGATTTACTATCTGGACGTTTTCAGAACAGTTTGCAGGTTCAGAGACCTCAGCCTTAGTTAAAGTTTAGCATGTTAAGTGGGGATTATTTGACTTTGTGTAAAACAAAGCATCTCTATGGCATCAGAGTCATCCCTGTGGCCTCCAAATCTAGCATGAGGTCTGGCCCATGGTAGATTCTCAGTAAGTGGTAGGTGTCACTTGATACCTGCTGAACTTGGCTTCTCAGCACCAGCTGGGTGACTGGAGAGGGGAGGAGATGGGTCATGGCAGGCTAGGCTGGTTTTCTCCTTGGCTCAGGAGGTCCTCTTCTCACATCTGAGGCTCCCAGGAGAGTCCAAGAGGGTGTGCAGTATAAGGTCCCAAGGAAGATAAGAAGGGAGCCATGAGAATTGGGATACTGCAGCGGATCAGAGAATGAGTTCAAGGTTAAGACTGTGCGGTGCTGGCGGATGTGGGAGGACCACTGCGTGGTGGGGTGGAAGCTATTGGCCCAAAGATGACCGGATATGGCTGGGCAGCTGGTATTCCAACATGAGGCTGAGACTTCCTTATCTGGCCCAGTCTCTCTGCCAGTGTTTGAATTTAGTAAAATCTCCATGATTAGTGACATTCCAGCCTCTTCTGGGGGCACTTCTGGTGATGGGAACGCACCATCTTGTTAGGTACCGATGAAAGGATGTTTCTCACAACATTGCTTGGAAGAAAGAAAAATCTGGTCAACAACCAAATGTCTATTGATAATTCTTTCTCTTACAACTCTGAAAAAAAGATGAGTGAGACCTAGATATGATGATACAGAAAGATGTTGGAAATTTGTGGTAAGTAAGAGATCTGTACAAGAGTATGCTTAATTAAGGCAATTCATATCAAGAGTCCTGGTGTGGTGTCATTTGTACTGCAAGGTCAGCGGTTCAAACTCACTAGCCACACTTGGAAACCTTCTACAGGGTCACTATGAGTTGGAACCAACTCCATGGCACTTGACAACAACAGCAATTCTAACATGGTAAACACCAAAGACCTTAGTGGAGACGCCATTCGTAGAGATGTGGTCAGAGGGTGAGTTTCCTTTTCTCTATGTGGCGTTAGTTGTTGTTGTTGGTTTTTGTTTTGTTTTGTTTTTTCCAACAAACCTGTGTCATCAGGAAAAAAAACAAAGTCGTTTTCATGAAAAGTCAGAAACGACAATGACAATGACATCCTCCCTTGTGTTGAGCTACAGTCTGCCTTCCTGGAACACAAGTGTACAATCCTTTATGTTGCCACGGAGGCCACAGGAGATCTTTGTAAACAGGAGCTGCCCTAGAATCTGTTTTCTGAGAAGCATGGGCCTAGTGCTTTGCTTCAGACAACTGGGTGGTTTTATTCAATGCCTGTCATTTTCTGACTTGTGTGTAAGCTTGTCTTTGTTAGGAGACCGAAAGCTTTCTGAGGGAAGACAATGAAATCGACATGTCTGTTCGTTACACAGCATCTGTTGCACACTACACAGAATAAATAGGCCCTCGAGAACAAGTGAATGACTTCAGGGTACCAAAACGATCACTGTATGAGTGCTTCTCTCCCTTCTGCTGAGGACATTCCTAACATCGCTTCCTTGTGGCTTAACAAATCCCTCTGTCTCTTTCCCAACCCCAGGTTTCTAAATATCCGTATACAATTCGGAATAAGAGGTGGTGGGAGGAATCAGACAGGTATGGAAGGCACTGAGACTTGCATGTGTAAAAGGAATAGCAATAGAAGTAAGAATGGAGAAAAAGAAGAATTTGGGGAACACACAGAGGGAGACAAGGGGAGGGAATGGATTCAGGACAGCCTCAGGCATGTAAAAGACAAAGTGAGGAATGGAGGGAATCGCCAAGCAGTGTAGCTGGAGATTGTGACTTGGAGCACTCGCAGTGCTCTTTAGCAGATACAATAATGACAGGAATTACCTTGCCTTTAGGGGCTACGCTGTGTGTTTCTGTAAATGTGGTATGCCTTTGGGCTGGGTCATGTGGAGCTCTGAAATTTATCTGGGTTGTAGGTGGGGTCAGAGTGAGGATCTAGACCTAGAGTTGTGTGAAGGAGTATGCAGTTGCCTCCTCTCTACATTACCTTGACCAAGAGTGGTATTCTCTGTCTCCAATCCATGTTCACCATCCTCCACCATGCCAGTAGAGGCAGCTCCCTGTGGCAGTGGGAGTCTTAAGATACGAGAGAAGGAAACCACACCTGCAAAGCTTGTGGCTTTTGGTGGGGAAAGATCACTGTGCCAGAAGTCAGAAGAACAGAATTTTGTTTAATACGGAGAATTGTCTTTAGAATATATTTTTACAATGACCCCCCCCCCCCCCCCCCCTTGTTTAATACGGAGAATTGTCTTTAGAATATATTTTTACAATGACCCCCACACACACACGCCAAAAAAAATTATAGCTGCTGAGGATGCTTATGTATAACCAAATACCTCATAGGATTTGGTTCCTTGGTTTGAAGGTTTAGGGTCATGGTTAATTGGCTTAACATTTTTAGTGCTCCCTGTTTCTACTACCCAGTTTGTTGAGGAGTATCTAGTGCCTCTATCAAAAGCTTGCAAGCAGCTATCTAAGACACAACAGTTGGTTTCTGGTGTAACAGAGGAGGAAGGAGAGTTAGAGACAGGAAGAGGAAGTGGAATGTCTGGCTAACTGGCTCCATGAACAACTGCCTCCTTTGCAACGAGACTGGTAGCATAGTGGTTACGAATCGGGCTGTGAACCTTAACGTCAGCAGTTCGAAACTACCAGCTTTTCCGTGGGAGAAAGGTGAGGCTTTCTGCTCCCGTAAAGATTTACAGCCTCGGAAACCCTGTACAGGGTCGCTATGAGTCGGAACCAACTCCACGGCACATAACAACAACATCATCATTACTGAAAATATTGATCAACGATTCTATGACAGAATCCTGATTAAAAGTGGGGAAATGTGGAACTGAATTTCAGATCCTTGTAGACTCTAGACTTCTTAAGCCATGGAGATTGGATGAGTACCTGAAACTATTGTCAGGAGAAAGTCTTTAAACTTTAAACCAAAACTATCCCCTAAGTCTTCTTCAAATCAAATAATAGTTTAGCTTCTCTGGTTTAAAAAAAAAAAGCCTACCTTACCCATTATACTCTTTAAAAAACTCTCACTATGGGATCAAAGTGACAACCACAACTTGAACTTTGAGGAATGTTAAGAAGCGGTACATTTTGTTAATGACACAGAAAAGGAGGGAGAGTAGGGTGGCAACAAATCAAAGAATGTTTTCAGTATCACTAAATGGTACACGTAGAAACTGTTGGAACTGTAGAAATTCCTGTTGTGGTGCTGTAGGATCAGCACTGGACTGTGAACCACACGGTCAGGGGTTCAAACCCATCAACTGCTTTCAGAAATCCTATACAGGGTTGTTATGAGTTAGAGTCGACTCGACAACTTAACAACAACAACAACAATCTCAGCAATAACACAGTCATTTTTTAAAAGTCGGTTGTCCCCCCAAATTTTAAAGTTAAGCAAAAAAAAAAAGGTTCTAGATTTAATCCCTGATATTTCCATTGGTCAGTTTGAACCATAAGGTCATCAGTTCAAACTCACCAGCAGCTCCTCGGAAACCGTATACAGTGTCGCCATGAGTTGGAACAGACTTGATACTTAACAACCACCACCAACAATGTTTTCATTATCTAGACAATCGCCATTAGCTTTTTGGTATGTATCTTGCCAAATAACTTTGTGTATATCAGTATATAGTTTTCAGTGGGATCAAGCTGTACATATTCTGTAGTAATTTACCATTTGCTCATAGTTGAGTATCTTTCTGAGCATACATGACTTTGCATCCCTGTTTTGTGTCTTTGGTTTGTTCACATCACCTCCCAATGCCCCAGTAAAGTGGAAATAATGTCACCCTCATAGGCTTGTGGTAAAGATCCCCTGGGGCGGTGGGTAGAAAGTTGCTTTGCAAATTGTTCTCCAAAGGGGAAGGGACTATGCGTTCTCCCTTCCTGGCTCTGTGCTAGCTCAGCTGCCTGCTTCTCACTGGCTGTCTTTCTTTCCTTACAGGATCGAGAAGGGGGGTGGGAACGAGGAGGAGGACCTGCGCTTGGACTGCCGCCATGAAAGATACCCCACCCGTAAGTGGCTTCGTCACAAGGGCCTGGTCTGAGGAGCAAGAGTCCCTGGGGATAAGCCAGGCCAACCTCCCAATGTGGCCTGCCTTCCCATGGACACACGTTCCAGATGGGGAAACAGGCTGGTGTCAGGGCTTCACGAAGGAAGTTGGGATGGTGTGGGAGGGAGATGATGACCAACAAGAGAGCAGACAAACCGCAGCTTGAGTCCAGGCCAGACTTGTAGGTCTGTAGGGAGAACATTTCCAAGCTAGAAGGTGACAGTGGGCAAGATTGGTTTGTGCTTCTGGCCATCTAGAATGCATTGAGTTTACATGCTTCATGGTGACAGAGACCCCAAAACAGAATCTATCATACCCACTAGCAAAACAAATCTTAACCAGAAAGCAAACGGGAGGTCGGGAGGTAAAAGCAGAGAAAAGGCTAGAGCCAGCGGAAGAGTGAAGTTACCCTGTCAGAGCTCAGCTGGGCCAGCTGAATGACCACCAGGTGTCTCCCTGCCACACACACACCTTTCCCCACCCCAAATGCTTTCCAGGCCTGAGTTCATAACTCCCCTGACCTCAGTTCCCGCAGCCAGGACCCATGCCCACATTTTGCACATGAGGAAGTTAGGCTCAGAGAGGTGCAGTAAGTTGCCTAAGGTCAACCAGCTTAACTAGTCATTGGCAGAGTAGCCATAGCAGAGGCTGCCAGGTCTTAGCCCAGATTTCTCAGCCCTCTAGCTGCCAGCATCTGTACCCTCCACCCACAGACATGGCTTCTAGATACCCCAGCTCAGCTCCCTCACCCCTTGGGGGGGGGTGGGTCACTGCAGGGTCAAGAGTCAGTTGCCCTCGGGGTTAACACCTTTCCTGGCCAGCTCCCTGCCCCTCCACAATGTGTGGCCTACACTAGAATCCCCTCAGGGACTGCTTCCGTAGACCTGCCAAAGGGGAGCCCAAGCCAGGGGCCTGAACACTGGCTCCAAATCCTGTCCTACCCATTGCAGTATCTGAAGGAGAAACAGCTTTGCCCCAAGGGAGAGGATGATAGGAAGAGGAGCTTAGAGGAGACCAGTGGAACAGGAGAAAGGATGAGAAAACAGGAGGGGGGCACGAGCCCAGAGAGCCCTTTAAATGCTGCCATTGCTTTGTGCCCAGTGACTTCTTGGAGGAAAGAGTCAGGAACACAGGATGGAGGTGTCTGGGGAATTCCTGCCCCAGGTTTTGCAGAGGGAGCAGATCACCAAAGAGGGCTTGAAGAGTCTGAGGCAGGGAGAGGGGTGGAGAAAGGAGAACCCTGGCTTTGTGCAGAGTGAGCCCCAGACCCAGGATGGAAACACGTCCTCTGGGCTTGTCTAGGGGACAGCTGGGGAGCTGGGAGGGCTAGTGGACTGTGGACAGGGGCAGTGATGGGTATGTGAGTGTGGCACTTGTCTACAAGACATGGGTGGGGAGCCAGGGGATGGGAATAGAGATGGCGGAAGCCAGGGGGCTGAAGGACCTTCAGGGAAGGATGTGTGGGGCTGGAGTCCTGCTGTGGAAGGGAGCAGCAGAGGATGCTAGCTGGCCCCACAGAGCTTCTGGATCCTGGTCTCTAGGAAAGGAAGAAGCCTCAGCCTCAACAGCCACGTGCTTTCAATGAGCTCCCGAGGCGTTTGCAGGGATGGGCCTGAGTTAACTCTGTTAGAGCTGAGGGAGACAGCCCAAGGTGACTGCGGCACCAGTATGAAGGGTCCCATGTACTCATCACAGCGTCTGCGCATCCTAAAGTTGGCCGATTCGGTGGCCGTTCATTGATTGAACAAATCGTTACCAAAGATTCTACCAGTTTCTCTGAGCCAAGTCCTGGGAAGCTGGACATGAACAAGGGATGTCACTCAGCCTTGGAGAGCTCCAAGCCCTAAGCCTTCATTGTACTGCAGGCCAGCTCAGGAAGTCACAGCAGAGAGGGGGCACCTTATCTGGCTTGGGTAGGGGGTGGCGCAGAAGGCAGACAGTGTAAAAGGGGTGCTTTAGCAGGGGAGTTTGGTAGAGACTCAACAGCTATAATGATGGTTCCTGGACTTGATTACGAAAACAGCCAAGACTAACTCAGTTCCACCATGTCTCGTGCTTACGTATGTTCCAAGGCCTTAATGTTTAATCTTAAATCGTTAAGTGCTGTCGAGTCGGTTCTGACTCATAGTGACACTGTATAGAGTTTCTGAGGCTGTAAATCTTTGCAGGAGCGGAAAGTCTCATCTTTCTCCATCAGAGCGACTAGTGGGCTCCTACTGCCAGCCTTATGGTCCATAGTCCGGTGCTTATCCTATAGCACCATGGCGCTCCATTTCACAGATAGAGATACTGAGGCCCAGGAAAGTTACATGGCTTGCCCAACATTACACAGCTGGGAAGTGGCAGAGCTTGGATTTGAATGCAGTCCGTCTGGCACTAGAGCCCACATCCTAAGCACTGGGCAGTTTAAACCACTCAATGTCAGTCTACCTGCTAGGCACGTTCCATAGCCAGGCTTGGGCAGGTCGGGAGCACACGTGGCCCATTGGGCGTGGTCTTGGACTCAGTCTAGGATAGCAGTTTGATCAGCCCATCCAGGGAAATGAGCTTGTCTCCAGCATGTGGCCTCTTAGCTGCTCGTGGGTTTTCGGCCAAGAAAATATTTTGTGGAAATGCCTGGATGAGTTTTGCAATATTTCTACACCAGCAGCTGCTCAGTTCTCTGATGGGCTGACTCTCCAGCAGGAGGACGGGGGAGGAGGATGTCAGGGAACTGCATTATTAGACACTTAGCTGTGTGCAGGTCTTTGCTAAGCACCTTGCTGCCATCATAGTGGATGGCTGACAGCCGGGCAGGAGGTTTTAGCCTCATTATGCAGATGAAGAAACTAAGGTTCTGAGAGGCAAGTAGACTGCGCTGAGATGAAACTCAGTTTGGCATGGAGCTCACTCCCCTCCCCCTTCCCACTTTGGCCCCATAGCCCCCCAGCCTGCTCTCCAGTCTCCCCTCAGTCACACTGGCCTTTCTTTTCATCTAGCATACAAACCCCATCTTTGTCACAGGGCCTTTGCATGTGCTGCTTCTTCTGCCTGGAATGTACTCCCCCTAAATCTTCGTGTGGCTCATCTGGAAGGCCACTTCCTCAGTCACCCTCACATTGCCATGTTTTCGTCCCTTCCAAGCATTTAACCTGCTTCAAATGACCTTCACATTTTGTCTCTTGTGCCTGTTTTTGTTTTGTTGCCCCTCCATTAAGTTAAGGCACCTGTCATTTTTGTTCACGTGTCTCCCAAGAGGCTCACACAGCGTGACGCATAGTAGGTACTCAAGAGGAGCGCTAAACCTTTTTTTCTTGCAGCCACTGACTTGTATGTGAGCAGTTACCTAAGCTTGGGGCTGACTTGTTCTTGAGCTTCTGCGATAGGAATTCTGCCACATGTGTTTACCCGCAAGGAAGGAGCTTGCAGAATCCCCCAGTGACATTTGACAGAGACGAGGCTACCACAGGCACAGGCGCCTGCATCTTCCTCTCAAGGGTCGTGGGCCTTGGAACTGATTGCATCTGTCAAGTTCAATGCCAGAGACAAGGCTTTGACTTTGCCAGGTGTTTCGTCACTCGGCCGGCACCAGGCTGACTTCTGGGAGCTGTCTAGACAGGTCTGCTAGGGAGAATTTCAGTGAGGACTTTTCCTGGGCCCAGAGCAACATGGCATTTTGATTAGTTGCTTTCTTTATTAAAATGGAAACAGACAATATTTCTGAAACAAATACCAATGCCAACTTGCTCTGAGCACAACCTGGACAGGTCTAACCAAGACCCTTTGTGGCTTTAGCCACAGAATCGCCTGGAGGACTCAGTCCTGCAGCGGGGGCTGCCCGAGAGTGCCAGGTGGGACCTGGTGCTGCTGGCCCACAGACTATGTTCTGAACAGCAAGCCCCTCGGAAGCCATTGCCAGGAGCAGGTTTACCTTTCGTTACTGGCTAGAGCTCTTCAGCAACTTCTAGACTGAAAATGCTACTTTGAGGGTCAACTCTCCAATCCATCCTCCAAGGACACAGACTTGATTGTGTCTCCCTACTCCCTATTAGCTGTAAAGCTCCTAAATGACCCACTCAGCTGCTGGCTCTCAGCCTCACCTCTCGCACAGTCCCACGGAGCCCTTCTCTTGCCTTCCTGCCCTGGCTTCATCTTTCTTTTGTTCCTTCTTCACCCTCTGAAACCTTCTCTGATCACTCATTTGTTGTAGTCTTTCCCCTTAAATGGACATTTGCTGAGGACAGGCGCCTTGTGTGCCATAGTCACTGGCCTCCCCCAAACCAAAGCTATTGGTGTCTCGTTGATTCTGACCCATATAGACCCTATAGGATACAGGGTACGCTGCCACAGTGTGCACCCTCGGAGTGGCTGGTGGGTTTGAACCACTGACCTTCCATCAGCAGCTGAGCTCTTAACCACCGCGCCACCAGGGCCTCCTTAGGTCAGTACACTGAGTGGTATGTCCATTTTACAAGATGCTTGGTTTCCAACAAGCAAAGCTCCTTGTCCTGGGTCACACAGTCTGAAACATTCTCCCTTCTGCTCATGTTTCTTAGGCCATCGCTGCCCCAATCTCACCTGAGCCTAAGAAACACCCATGACCCTGGTTCAAAGACAGATCTGGAGAATTCAGCTGCTCAGTGTCAGGTGGGGCCCAGGAGTCAGTCCCTGTGAGTTTGACAAGGCAAACTTGGTGTGTGATGAACCTGTGGCCCTGGGAGAGCCTGCTGGGCCGTTTACTCCTGACACAAAGCACCTTTTACAAGTGTTATCAGATGTCTGTCCCCAGTTCCCAGAGGCATGGGCTTCTTGCCTTCCCCCAACACCAACATTGTTAGGGCTTTCACACCTGCAGAAAAGCTCATTTCTGCCTGAAGTGACCTGCTCCTTCCTTTGTTCGGTGAAAAACAAGCTGCGATGCTGTGAGGTAATGTGCTGGACTGCAAAGGCAGTTTGATCCAAAAAAAGGTTGGTGTTTCCAGCTCACTTGAGTGAGTTGGAACTGAGTTGATGGCACTGAGCAACAACAACAACCCCCACAGAAATTGTGTGCTTTCCTAAATGCTTTCAGAGCCCAGCTCAAGTGTTCTGGGTGGCAGCCAGCCCCTCCTTACCCATGGCAAAGGTGATCATGTACATCTTTGCTCCTCTTGTCCTGAGGCAGGAGTTTAATGTGGTCATGAGTCTGGCTGCTGGAGTAAGGCTGCCAGGGTTCAAATTCCAACTGTAAGACCTTAGCACTGGGCCTCAGTTTCCTCATCTGTAAAATGGGGATAGGAATGGCACCTGACTCGTGTTGTTGAGGGTTAAATGAATCACGTACGAATAGCATGCAGTAAGAGCTGCAGGTCTGATTACTGTGGTCAGGTGCCTTTCTCCCTTTCTAGACTGAGAGTGTCCAGAGAGCAGGCCGGTGTCTCCACACCCAATAGAGAGCTTGAGTCACAGTAGGTGCTCAGAAAATGTTTAATAAGGGCACAGTGAGGCAGTGGCTCTGGGGAGAAGTCACCAGCCTGGTGGGTCCAGCTTGATGCCGGGTGTGGAAAAGACCACGGGGTCTGATCCATTCAAGCTACTAAGACAGTGTAGTTCCAAGGGGGACCAGAAGATTGACCTACTTGGTTCCTGCACAAATCTGCTTTTGTTCTTGAATCTTCTGTTACTCATTTGTTAAGCAGATACGGACTATAAACATGGTGCCTACAATCATACCAGACACTAGGAATATAAAACCAAAACCAGTGGTCGCATGTTGGTTCTGACTCATGGCAACCCCATGTGTGTCAGAGTAGAAATCGCTCCGTAGAACTTTCCAAACATGGCCAGGCCTTTCCCCTGAAGCATCTGTGGTGGATTCAGACGGCTAGCCTTTTGGTTCAGAACTCAACATATAGCCATTGATGTCACCCAGAGACTCAGCTAGAAGTAAAGTGATGAGTTAAAGCCGAGATTAGTAGGGAAGAGTGGAGGAAAGAAATGAACAGCTATTACCAGATATTCCAGTGCCTGCAGGGCCCCCTCGGGATAGAGATTTACAGAGCATTGTAGTCCGGGTGCCTGCTCTAAAGCTGTGGCGTGTTAGCAAACAGAAGGATGGTTTCACTATCTGCTGGCTATCCAAAGCCCAACACCTCGCCAACCTTGATCATTTCTCTTGCTGCTGGCATCCCATCTCTTACCTGGAGGACAGGGTTCCAGGTTAGGCAGGCGGGCAGAAGGCTCTGATAGGCATTCAAGACCAACTATCCAAAGGTGAATCGAAGAAGATGCTGCCTCATAGCAAGACCTGGCTCTGTGTGCCCTGCTGGGCTCCTGTGGGTCAGGAGTGCCCAGACCAGTCACCTGCCCAGGCCCGGGGCCTGCCCATTCTCACTAGTTAACTCTAGAAGCCGCAGCGTGGCTCTGGCCACATCCCTTCTCTTCATAAGTGCTTTGGTCTCCCATCTGCATGTTTGTTGTGGTATTGGCATTGGTGTTCTTGGTCTTGAATTCATTATGGATGGAGCAATGGATGTGGTTTAATTCAGTGCAACAGACCCAAGATCTGGGCCCCAGGATCTGGTGGCTCTGTGATTTTCCACTGATGGTCCAGGAAGTCAAGAATGGAGGATGGTGGACATTAAATATGTTTGCTTCGATATATGGATTAGGAATGGAAGAGGAGTTACATCTTCCTATGGGAGGTGCTCTGTGAAGCTGGGACTCGCCAGGGGAACACAACATCTGTCACCAACTCTCTGCGTGGGACTTTGGACACATTCCTTCCCACCAACGGCCCTGGATTTCCCGTCTGTGTGGAGTTCATTGAGCCCTTCTGGCGCTGGAATTGTGTTGTTGTCTATGCATCAGTATCTAAAGTCAGATAAGGGGGGCTTCTTATGCAAGGGGCTTCTTCAGTTGGGTTTGCTGAACTAACAAGTTGGACTTTGTTGTAATTCACATCTATTTGCAGGCTCAGAATGCTGAAGTGACTTGTGAAAAGTCACACAACATTAAAAAACAAACCACACAGCTTTGAAGTAGTAGAACCTGGTTTTGAACCTTTGACTGTGAAGTTCTAAGTACAGTAACCGGCACCTCCCTTCTGAGCCTACAGTCCAAAGGAGAAGAGGCTGAGAGAAGAACAGGGAGGCAGCTCCATGCTCAGACTTCAGCCCCTCCTCCTCTTCAATGGTTTCTTGATTTATCAAGAAAGTTAGCTCAAGACTTGCTCGGTGACCACCCAGATGCTGGGAGCTGAGGATTCTGAATGAAGCAGACCCCCCCCCCCCCCGCTACCCCTAGCCCACAGGAAATCCCCAGGGTAGCTATGAAAACTGCCACTGAGCTGGCAGATCTTCCACAAGATGATGCGCACAGAGAGAGAGAGTGTTTTGGGGGGAGTACGAAGGATGGAAGGCTTCCCAGAGGAGGGAACATCTGAGAACCATGTGGGATTCAATGGCCAGAGAAAAGCAGACAAGTGGACAGCACAAACAAAAAGTTGTCATCATGGAATGAAGAAGCAGGCTGGAACAGTCCAAGGTCACCCAGATGGTCTCCCATGGGCTGAATCTGACCTGAGAGGTACCGCTTGGCTCACAAAACTTTTTAAACACTCTGGTTGCCAACATCCAAAAGCCAGGAAATTTTATTTTGAAATGTGAGCCCATGTTCCCCATGGCAACGGTTGACGACAGCTTAGCAACAGCTGCCTCTGACTGACTTCATCCGTTGTCATTATTTGCTGAGATCCAGTAGACATTTTATTGGGATTTCCCCAATGTACAGCACAAAGGCATTTTTTTCTGGCTGGTGGGCTGTTGGATGTCTTGAGCAGTGATCAGGACGGACGGAGTTCCTCAACAGTGGAAATGGCTCTGGGCCCCAAGTACCTCCTGAGAGACCAGCGAGGGGACAGAGTCCCAGCCCTCCACAGTCTCACCCAATGTAGAATAAGGATGGGAAGCCGGCCTCTCTTCTTCCTTAAAGACACATGATTCCTTTCTCTCTGTTCTAGCCAACTCTCCAGGGTTCTGCCTGCAGGAGCAGCTACACTCACTTCTAAATAATTCTTTACAAAAACAGTTGAGCTCTCTTGTGCACCAAATATTTGCTTGTAGATTAAAACAAAAAAAACACAAAACACAATCCCAAACACCTTTATTTTGGCAGCAAGTGCTTCTAAAGAAGGTTTCGGTGACTAGAGCCCAAACAAATGTTTTCCTTGTAAGACCAAATGATCCCAGAATGTTTGTAAAATGTTTCGCACCCCACCCCATTTAAAAAAAAAGGAAAATTGACAAAGCACCAACAATAAAAATACTACAGTGGGAAAAAGCAAAGGACGCACATAGACCCGGCAGCGACGTAGCCACTCCATCTTCTGCTCTTCTAGCCTTGCTGGAACTCCCACCTCAAGGGACTGTCTGCAAAGCCTGTCTGATCCTTGAGTGGGACAAGTATGTCTGAGTATCCCCTAGGCCATAGAGCAGAAAAACAAGTCAGTGCAAAACAAATGTTTTTAATGCTCAAGTTCGGAATCTGAAAGAAATCAGTGCAGTTCCAACATGGCTATGACGCGTAAGGCAAGCTACGTGTGCTTTTCAGTTCCCTCATCTGTAAAATGGGTAGCAACTGCCTCACGGGGTTGTTGTAGGGGTAGAATCTGCTGGGGTGTTGAGGGCTCCAAGTGCTCAGTAAGTGTTCATTTGCACCCCACTTCACCCCCTCATGCCAGTCTTCTCTCTCCTGTGTGTTTCTTTTTCTCTCTCCACCTCCACCCTCCACCCACTGTGGTTTCAGGGCTCCAGGGCTAAGGGGTGAAGCTGGCATAGTGTTCTCCTGGAGTGGGGAGAACCCTAGGGTCAGGGAGTGGAGTCCTCAGGGCAGCTTCCTTTAGGAGGTGAAATTTAAACTGGTTCTTGAGCACTGGGTGGACAGAGGATGAAGGACATTTTAGGTGGGGCCGGAGCATGGAAATGGGAATGACCTTGAGGAGACACTGAAGACAGGCATCGGGGAAACATCAGAGAGTGAGCTTCTAAATCAGGGGCGCCTCAGCCCTTCCTGCTGCCCGGGCCACTAGGACAGTGGTGGTGGTAGGGAGGGGACGTGAAGCTGCTCTGAGTCCTGCTCACACTGTGAGGACTTAGGGTCGGGGGATTCAACATACTTGTCACCCTCCCACAGTTCCTGTGGAACACGTGTGGGCACACAGTGGAGCTCAGGGAAACCTGACTGGGTGGGTGAGTGATGGAAGAGGTTCCAGAATGTCTGGGACAGCTGAGTGATGGATACGTGGACGGGTAGGTGGGGACTAGGGGGTTAGCGGAGGGGAAGGTTGATGGAGGGCGGATAACTAGAAAGTAGGCGGCAGATGGTTCGCTCCAGGATGAGTGACTGTTGGGTTTGTTTGTAGGCTGGGATAGAGAGAGTCGAGTGGGTACGTTGGTGAGTTAGAGGCTAGAGGACAGAGAGAGAGGGTGGTGAGTTAGTGGATGTGTCAGCAGTTGCAAAACAGGTGGGTGGATAGATGGTGGATGAGTGGGTGGTTATAGGTAGATGCCCATGTGGGGAGGTGGGTGCACTGCGATGTTGACAGGTGAGGAAGGATGAGTGGGTTTGGGTTGGTGACAGGAGGGCTGTGAGTGGTTACATGGGGTGCTAAGTATGGTCGATGTCAGTGTGTGGCTGTGTGAGAAAGTGGCTGTGGGTGAAGCAGTGTGGACTCAACACTCACCACCTTGTCTCTTGGCAGGACATCAGCCACACCTGGGGGATTCCTGGCCCCGAAGTTCTGTGCAGGAAGCGCCAGAGCTGAACCGTCAGTGCTGGGTTCTCGGGCACTGGGTGTGACCTCAGGTGGCCGCTGGCACCACTCCCCTGCCACAAGACCAGCAGTCTGGTGCCTCTGGAAATCTGGCCTTTGTGCCGTGAGCTCAGCCAACCTGTGTGGGAGACATCAGGCCTGTCTTGCCGATGGCTGCCTGCGTCTCAGAGCCCTGGGGTGAAGGGACACACAGGGCTACACTGAGCACCTTTGGACAGCACCCCCGACTCTGCCACCCTCACATGCGGAGCCCTGTTGGCTGCAGCTGGCACCAGGAGAGACACAGACAGCAGCCACGGAAGGCCTGGGCATCCACCATCCCGCCAGGAAGTCCAGGAGGTGCCCAGAGGTGCAGAGCCTGGGGGAGGGGGGCAGGGGGCGGGACTTCCTGAAGGAGGGGCAGCTGAACCGCCACCCTGGGGTCGGGGGTCACACAGCAGGGGCTCAATAAATGCTTGTTGACCTGTTTTCTTGCGGTGTGTGAAGGCTCTCAGGGCTGCCAGCTGCCCCATCTGTCGGCTCCTGAGGCAATCTGGGTGTGCTGAGCTAATGCTGGACACTTAGGGTGTGGCCGGGGGAGCCGGAGCCGGAGCCAAGTGGGACCTGGGGGACAGGTGCAGGATGAAGCCCGGCGTATAGGAACCGCCTTGAATTCCAGAGGGCAAGGGCCAGGCAAGCTTGAAATGTGAGTGGTCCAGAGACAAGCCCTCAAAGTGGGGCTCTAAGCTAGGAAGTTGGAGAAGCCATGCTTCTCTTAAGAGCTTAGCAATGCCCTGACCTCATGGGGACCCTTTGTCCTGTGTCTAGGACCACCTTTACATAATATGTTAGGACTTAGCTGCTTGGAGAAGTAGTTCTATCATAAAGATGAGGAAATTTAGGGTCACAGAGATGAAGAAACTTGCCTAAGGTCACAGAGCTAGCAAATGACAGAGCTGGAGTCTGAACCATTACTCTTGATTCCAAGTTCAGTGATCTCCCTTCTCAGGTAGATTTATAAAGATTCCCCTCAATCAGTGTACTTTCTTCTTCACTCATCCATAAATTTATCATCCATCATCCATCCATCCATCCATCTGCCCACTTATCATCCATCATCTGTCCGTCCAACCGTCATCTGTCCATCCATCCATCCATCCATTATTTGTCACCCTGCCTTGTATCAGACATCCACCAGTCATTCTTTTTTTTTTTTTTTTAATGTTCTGAAATTATGTGATAGTTTACATGGGAGAACATTAGTTTTACATTCATTCTATCGTATATCATCTCATTGCCATGGTTACAATCCCCTCCATGCATCAACAGCCAACCAAAGGGTATACCCTGCAAGCCTGCCCCCCTTGCCCCCACCCCCCAGTCTTCAGCACACAGTCCCTCTCCCTCTCTGGATCTAAAGTCCCCAGCTGCTCCCTTGCTCCACATCATCGTCTCTGCCTCCATCTCAGGCATCACTGCTTCGCTGGGTAGGGTCCTGCTCTCCACTCTTTATCTGTTGATGGTCCTAGGGACCTCCGCTCCTATACTGGAAAGTTAATCACTCCCCTCCTTGCTATAAAACGTCTAACTTTATATTTACAACCCTCACAATCAGTCCTGATAACAGTTATTCACTATTGCATCACAGGAGACCCATCTGCATTTCATTTCATCCGCCCCACCTAGACAGATTGGATACTACTCACTGGAGATTGTACCTTCCTCCACACCCTCTGGATCTAGGTTCCCTCTTGAAAGCTTATAAGCCAGTCACTTCTTGCCTTTGTAGCCCCCGCCCCCATTTTGGGTAGCCAGTGTCCAAGTTGCCCATGTCTGTCTACTTTATATGTGGAGGGAGTGGGAATGATTCTTGCTGTAAGGATTTGTTCCCTCTTTTGAGCTACTGCATCCATAGGTGTAGGTCAAGTTCATCAAATTGTATCAGATTACTCTTTTTTCCCCCCTCTTCTTTTCTTCTTCTGGTTGAGCTCTGATCATCCAGTCATTAAAGCCAGGATAAGTGGGTATTATCTGCAAGTGTGGGTATGCTGTCTCTTCTTATCAGCTGCATGCTTCACTCTCCACTCTAGTCCTCTGTGGCTATGTCACTGACTCTGGGTCCAAGAGTCCCCAGGTCTTGACACACTGCTGGCCAACTAGGTTTTTACCCGGGTTCACAGAAGTCTATTGAACATTGTAGGGCTTAGCTTGCCACTTCATTGCTGTTTTTCCCTCACTTCCCCTTATTGGTGACAAGTGTGGTCACCAATCAGAGCATGTATTCCCATTGAGTCTTGGTATTGGAAGGGGGTTTGCACTGAGGGTACCTGACCACTTGCCTTGATGTTTCCTGGGCAAGCAACTGCTAGTTCTTGTAGTAACAGTCCATCTGCCTCTATTGTTTTGTATTTTTCCTGGCAGTCTTTCTTTCAGGAAGTATCTTCTGTTCTTCTAGCTGCTCCAGGCTGGTCTGCTCTTTCTTTCAAGTGGAAATTTCCCATCTCTGGAGATCTGGATGTGGTTCAGGCTTCCACCTATAGTCTTATGTATTGCAGAGGCTCTGCAGGAAGTCTCCTTCACTGGACACATTGTACCCCCATTTTAGGTATTCCAATCAGTTAAAGGCAGAAGACGCACTTACAAGCTTTCTATGGTGTTGTTTCTGGCTATTCCTTTCTCTTCCCCTCCAGTGTCTATTTTATAATATAATGCAAGGAAAACCGAGATTCAAAAGACAGCCAAGCATCTTAGTATTATTCCCCCATTTCCCCATTCCAACCATGTCTCAATCTCTGTATCCCAGAGCCCTGTTGTTACAAGGTTGTACATACATCAGTATTTACCTCCATCCCACTTAGCCCATTCAGACCTGCCTAATTGTTCTCCCATCTGCTTTGGTCTCCCATTCCCCTCTCCCTTCTTGTATATTGCCCCCCTCTCTAGCACCCAAACTATCCTGTGTCTAATCCTTGTGCTCCACCTTCTCCTCCCTCCCCTCACCCCCGCCCCCAACATCCCAGCAATCAACAAAGAATCCCCCACACCCCCCTTTAGTATGGGTTCTTTCCCTTAGTCTTTTACAGTAGTGGTCCTATGCAGTATTTCTCTTTTTGTGACTGACTAATTTCACTCAACATAATGCCCTCAAGGTTCATCCATGTTATGCGGTGGCTTGCAGCTTCCTTGTTGTTCATCAAGGTAGCATAGTATTCCATTGTGTGTATGTACCACAGTTTGTTTATCCATTTTCGTTAGTTGATGGGCACTTTGGCTGCCTCCATCTTTTTGCTATTGTAAATAATGCTGCTATGAACATTGGTGTGCATGTATCTCCTCGTGTTGTAGCTCGTTGTTCTTGTGGGTAAATACCAGGTAGAGGAATTGCTGGATCATAAGGTATTTCTATTGTCAACCTTTTGAGGAAACGCCATATTGCTTTCCAGAGAGGTTGGACCATTTTGCAGTCCCACCAGCAATGCAGGAGTGTCGCCGTCTCACCACATCCCCGCCAGCATTTATTGTCCTCTACATTTTTGATCTTTGCTGGTATTGTTGGTGTGAGATGATATCTCATTGTTGTTTTGATTTGCATCTCTCTAATGGCTAGTGAACATATCCAGATCAGTCATGAGGTACAATGTTGTAAGTGATAGGATAATATCCATGAGCCTACAGGGAAGCTCAGTTAATACCACTATTACTCAAATTTATGCACCAACCACTAAAGCCAGTGAGGATGAAATAGAAGAATTCTGCCAACTTCTTCAATCTGAAATCGACCAAACATGCAATCAAGATGTATTGCTCATTACTGGTGATTGGAATGCAAAGGTTGGGAGCAAAGAGGAAGAACCAGTAGTTGGAAAATATGGCCTTGGGGATAGAAATGATGCTGTAGGGTGTAGAACAAATGATAGATTTCTGCAAAATGAGTGATTTGTTTATTTCAAATACCTTCTTTAGACAGCATAACAGACGACTATACACATGGACCTTGCCAGACAGAACACATAGAAATCAAATTGACTACATCTGTGGAAAGAGAAGGTGGAAAAACTACATATCATCAGTGAAAACAAGGCCAGGGACAGACTGTGGAACAGACCATCAGTGGCTCTTATGCAAGTTCAAACTGAAGTTGAAGAAAATGAAAACAAGTCCACAAAAGCCAAAATATGACCTTGAATTTATCCCACCTGAATTTAGAGATCACATGAAGAACAGATTTGATACATTGAACACTAAAGACCAAAGACCTGAAGAGTTGTGGAATGACATCAAAAACATCATACGTGAAGAGAGCAAAAAGTCATTAAGAATACAAGAAAGAAAGAAAAG